GAAAGCAGGGCCTTAGATTAGGTTAGCCAGGTCCATGCAAAGCCAAGTCTTGAATACTTGGATTTGAACATGATATAGCATGAATAATATTACAAGTAGAGTCATCATTGCTTTAGTGAAGTCACACAAGAAATTAGAAAAAAAAACCAAAACACTCCAAAGAGGCCATGACTCAACTGGCCCTATAGGAAAAACAAACCTGGAAAGCAGAGAAGTATTTGGGTGCTCATTCCACTTCAGATCCTAATAAGACAGCGTATACATCCTGGAAACTACATTTACAGATTTCATAGAGCAAAGTCTAAGATTGAAAGTAATTTCTCTCTTTTCTTTTTTTTTTTTTTTTCCATGGTGATGTTATTACCACTTGTATTTCTGCTGGCAGGAAGGTATTGCCTACAGCTGCAAACTAATACTTTCTGGGTCATCAGAACTGTGACAGACACAGCGCTCTCCACAGTTCCTTCAGCCCTAAGAAAACTATGTTAAAGTATTAACATGCTGTCAAAAGTTGTTCGCTGCCCCTTCTTTGCCAGTTCTTCCTTCTTTTTAAACATATCATTTCACAAACATTTACTTTCATAAATATGTAGCAGACCAGAGCTTAATGGGAATGGATTTGAGCGAGTACACACTGGAGGAAAAGCTATCTAAAAGAACTGGGAACCTATAAGGTTGGGGTAGCTGATGGGGTAGTTATTTTGCTGCGGTGGTAAAGCAGCATCTTGCAATGCAGGTCTTGTAATTTTGAGCTCTATATACAGAAGTGCCACAGAGAAAAGCAGGAAGACAATCTCAGCCCATTATAACTTTCTTTGGATATTTAAAACTAGTCCTGGAAAAAAAACCCCAAACATATAACAGGCTGTAGGGCTGTACCAGATTTGCACCAGTCTGGAGCATTGGACCTGGGACACTTCCCTCCCTCCCTTCACCCATTTTCAGAACCGAAGGAAACTCGCTTTTTCATTTTCTCCCAGGTTAAAATCATACCAATTGCCTTTCATTTTAATGAGGAGTGTAGATGTCTCAAGCATTTCACTAGGTTTCTCATAATTTGTCATATTTAATGGCTGACGGCTATGCAAGAGCTCATTATTTTGGGGATCCTGGTGAGAAAGACTGTTGTTTTGAACCATTTTTCTGGCTGTTTATACAAATTTCACACAGGAAAGTTGTAGTAAGCTGATAAACACTTTCTTATATATTACAAAGGGTCTGATCAAGAAGAATATGTATCTTTACATCCTACATATTGCTTACACAAAAGGTGGAAGCAGTTAAAAAGGTGACACTTCCCATGTTTATTTACACCTGCATTCTTGTCTACACAAATGGTGGAAATCATTTTCCAAATCCCAGTATTTCTCAGCTGTTTACCTCACTTCTTTCCTCTTCTTAATAAAACTGTGGAACCATGAGCAGTGTCCTATTTCACTTTCTAATTACTTCTAGTAAAAGTGTTTCTTTCATGACCACCACCATATTACCAAGCCCTGGAAAGGCTCAGTAATCCTTGTTTCTGTGGTGTATCACAGAGAGACCTTAGATGGTGTGGAACAAAGCTTTGAATGCATGGAAACTTCAGGAGGACGTTGCTATTTGGAATTAGGATGGTATGCAATGAAGTCCTGAGTGAAAATGCTTAATTTGCTGATGTGAGTCAGTGGAAGGTCCTCACCAACCCTCACCCCTTTGCGTTTCTTCCTTGCTTTAGCACCGGTTGGCATCTTCCCTCTCCTGTTCCCCATAGGAGATTAAAATCACAAGGATTTACAGATTCACAGAGTGGTGGGGGTTGGAAGGGACCTCTAGAGATCATACAGTCCAACCCCCCTGCCCGAGCAGGATCCCCTAGAGTAGATCACAGGCTTTCTTCAGCAGCCAGCCTACAGGGTCCTTCACCCTACAGACACACACGGCTTTCGTGCTTTCGCCAGCCTACAGGGTCCTTCACCCTACGGACCCACACGGCTTTCATTTAAGGGCCTGACACTGGGATTACTGACACTGCCAGTTTCTCTGTGGAACATCCTGGCTCTGCTGGTAATTTTCTTAAAGGTCAAAGCAAGACGCCTCTGAATAAAGCAGTGCCTTCTCCCTGTTTGCACCCTGGTGACTACAAGAGCAGCCCCACTGATTTCAGGCACGGGAAAGCAGGTGCAGCAGTAACATCAAGGTGTAAAGGGATGGCACAGACCAGGTTTTGTACCTTGTCCAGCCCATGAGACAGCACGCAGCTTTTCACCTCCCTCGTTTTTTCCATTTGCACACAGGGAAGATGAAGGTTCAGATAAATATTAGGAAGGAGCTTATGTTCATATTCTGACCCGTAGATCAAAAAGGCCACAGAACAGCATGATTACAATTAAATGTAGCCCAAGGTCACAGGATACACGGGGGTTCGGTTTTAACCTTAGTGCTTTTGGTAAAAGCCAGAGTCACTCACTGACATTCTTCCCATCCACACTCCCTTCCTGGAGAGTCAATAAACTCAGCTGTGGTTATTCAAGTGCACTGTAAAATAGCTGCTACAGCCCAGTGCAGCAGAAGTTATACCACTCTGGGCATGAAGCAATCCCCACAGTACCTTTCCTTTCCCCGAGAGCAATGTTGCAAAGAAAATTGTATGTTTGCAAAATCCTTGGAGATGTTTGAAACAAATGTGTTAAGGATTTGCAAACCATTTACCTGGAACCGTTACTTATAAAGGCCTGGGCTTATTATTACAGCTTCCTAAATAAAAGCTGAAAACCGTAATTTTTTAATCGCAAGCAGCACAATCCCAAGCACTGCGCAGCCACCTCCTTCTTCATCTTACACCTTGAAATTCAGCCCTTATACAAAGAAAATCCTAATTCTTTTCAGGTGCCAAGTGTTTGTATGTTGCTCTGGGAAAAGAAATAAATTACAGTTGTAAATGGTTAAAAATGGAGATTTAATGCGGAAAACTCAGGCAGAGTTTTCTCTAACATCTGACGAGCAGCGTGCATCGCTAGCATGACAAATATATTCATGGTAGTCCTGGAACTGAGAATGCTTGGGTTGTGCTCTGACTCACCGTGCCTTTGCAGAAGCAAGGATTACTATTATCTGCTCACATAAAATCATTGTGGTGGGTCTGTTCCATCTTGAACTGCTGCTCCACCAGACTGAGGTTTATGGAAATTACTTACCTGCCTCATCACTTGAATTATGAAGCTGGAGAGAAACCGTAGTGTGATAGCTGCCAGACTGCTTATCGTCATCTTTCCTTGTTGTTACCATGTTAGTAGGTCCTCTGGGTATATCCACAAATGCTGGAAGTTCAGAGACAAAGACACTTTGCCAAGGGTATTTACTACCAAAACAGCCTTTGCTTGTTTTCTTTCTATTAATTACATGATTTTCTGTTAAGTCTGCACTCAAGTTTAATCTGAGTGGAGTCTTGTTTTCTCCTAGAAGCTTTGTTTGAAATATCTCCTCTATGGACTCTCCATTAGCTATGCCATCTACTCCATCTGCTGTTAATCTAGACGAACTGCAATTTATATTGAAGGACAACACTGATCTGAGAATTTTTTGGCATTTAATTCGAGGTTGGTCAAGGCACACATTGAGAGACTTGTCTAAGTAATAGATGGTATTTGGACACTGCTGAGAAACCTGAAGGTGGACACATGAGATGAACGAAGGTGGTACTCTCTCTCTCCCATCACCACCTTGAAGACCAGCACCATTCTCCTTGTTTCCAAGGTCAAAAAGCCACTTTTGTGCCTCTTCACATAATTGTGAGCAAGATTCAGAAGTCTTTAATGGAGAGGCATTTTGGTTTGTGTGGCCTGGAGGAAGCCGGCGACGAAGGGCAGCAGGGACTTTGCTCGAGGCGGGGGACACGGCGTTGGGCTCTTGCACAGCCCCAGCTCCACGTGCTGGGTCTCTGGAGCACACAGCAACACGCCTGGCTGTAATAGTTATGGAGGCAAACCCTTTCTGCTGTTTTTGACGCTCTTTTTCCTCTGTGATGGGAGAGTCCAACGGAGACATGGTGTCATCTAAAGATGTCTGAATTTCTAATTTACTGGGAAGTACAGTAAACGCTCTATTGATGTTGACCGAACGACAGTTAGCCGAAGATTGCTTAGTGTGACAAGCACTGGGCTGGGGGGTCATGGATTGCATAGGCAAAGCAGACCAATTTTCATTGGATTTATTCTCATCAATCATCTGTGAAATGACTCCCAGTGAAATCAATTTTGTATTTTGCAATGACAGAGATTCCTGCAAATGAAAAGTTTCAAATTATCAACATACTCTATCATAATATATGTAACCGTTTCTCATCTACCATCTATCACACAAGACAGTTCTGTTCAGGATTTCTTGTTAACTTTCTAGTCGTTCTAACTTTTTTGTCGTTTAAAAACACACACACTCAAAATTGTCTGTGAGACTTCAATGAAAACCTTACCATTCTGGTGCAAAAAAATCTAAAATACCTGTACTCTACACTATGATTTTCAATATTTAACTCATTGTCACAGTTGGGGTTTGAGGCTGCCTATGTTTGTTTAAAAACGGACAAGTCAAAGGCCAGTTTCAGACTCTCAACTGCTCTGTCACCATGGTCTGCTGGAGTTTAAAATGCATTTATACATATTATGGATCATTAGTCTGAAGGCTTATGCGTGACGTCACTTTCTGCAGAGAATCCATGGGTACCGGGTCATGACTTCTCTACAACTTCACCAGTTACACTCCATGATCCCTCCCACAAGTGTGATAAAATTTCCTAAAAGGGCTCCAGGTACTATTTTAGCTCATTGGTTCCCTCTTATCATTACCTGGAGGCATCTATCAATGATGTAAAATCACATATGTCTAAGATTCATTGACAGTGGCCCAGATTAATTTTTCCAACTACAACAGTAAACATCTATCTTGATAGACCGTACGTTACTTCTCTCGATGTGACAAAGGAGGTGCTTTTACATTAAAGCCATCTGGTAAAGAGTAAACCTGAGTTTAAAATCTCCTGCTATTATTATCCACACGGCTGGTCACATAAGTCACACGCAATAAAGCAGCTGGCCTAATCTCATTGCTGCTGTAAATTGGCTGATTAGATTGCTCCTGCCCTGTGTTCCTAGATCTCCCAATCCTAATAGAAGAAAACCCTGCTGAATTGGCATGCAAAATCTGAGGATTAGCTTCATAATGAAAGCTCATCCAAGTTCACTCGAGGTTTAGGTGGCATTTGGTAGCTGTACTGCTCCTGCTTGTTATGAACTCATCTCAGTCATCGCAGGGCATCTAAACCTGATAATCAACGCCAGCACTTGAAAAGTGTTTCACAAAAACAGAGTATTCTTCTTCCCCAAGGAAGACTATGTGAGTGTCAGAATTGTGACCTCCTGGTCATCCTTCTCAGGGCTTGGGTGCCAGAGCCGGGACACTGCACCAAAGCCCATGGGGAAAACCATTCCTCTGCTCCTGTCCTCCATGCGTGGAAAAAACCACAGAAATCAGGCCCCTTTGTAACTCTTGGGATGGCTGATTTGGGAACCCAAACAGGTAGAAGTAGTTCAAGAGTTTATTAATGAGGTAAAACGCCAAGTAAATTTTATCAACTCTTGAAACCAGCTGCCTGTGGTTCTGAAAATTCAATAATTTCACAGCCCCAGGGAAAGCATTTTCTTTCTTCTTTGTTTGTTCCATGGTTTGTAACAACATTTGCCTCGTTTTCTGCACTGCATTTACCTCTACCTACAGGTTTAAGACCTTTGCATGCCCTCCAAAGCTCTCAACTTCTCCAAGATTTCTACAGGGCAACAAAGAAGAATGTTCCTTGAAATACTTTCTTTTGGTAGCCTCTCTCATGCTCCAGTGGTGAATTTGACATTTATTTCTTTCGTTAAGGGCTGCACAGATGGAGACATCTTGCAAGAGTCCAACTGCATGTCAGAATTACTCCTGATTAGTTTCAAATTCATGCACCAATTTTTTAAATAAACTGTTTTTCCTTTTTCTGCTTGAGTATATGTATTATTCCCTCCTCCCAACCTGTGGCAAAGAAATGGATCTTTAAGGTTTAACCATCTGATCCTATGCTCATTGGGAGCTTTCAGGCTTCACTGTGTCTCGTGAGAAAACACACCCTTACACGAAGTAATTGTGGTGAGCTGAAAACCTCAGGCTTTATCTTGAGAACATCTGAGACAGAGCGGAGGGATATCTGGGATACCACTTGAGTTAGTCTCCCAGTGTGTTTTAAGCAACTTCTTTCCCTGCACAAAACATGCAATTTTTTTCCCCTCACCGAGAGCACATAGGATCACAACATTTAGCCATCGTTTTGTTTGACTTTGCTGCTGCCTAAGCTAAGCCTAGCGAAACAAAGCCAAGTCCAAATACCCCGCTCAGCAATCAGCGATTGTTTTTTAAACCTGAAGGCATTCTGCTGACTGCTATCTGAACATAATTTATTTATTTTACCTTGGTAGAGCTTGGTTTTCTCTCCGCAGCACGCTCACGCTGGGGGCCTGTGCCTGTCCTCTGACCGTTGGTACCCCATTGTCTCTGGGTCGCTCCTGGGGAGAACAACGCGGAGGGAGTAACATTATTTTCAGCGTCCAGGAGGAGATGAGTTAGCAAACGTGGTTTTGAAGGGAGTGCAAGCAGGAAGGAATGAGCTACTGTAAATTATCCGATTGCCCTGGGATCTGGTTATCGCCAGGATCCTATTTCCCAGGAGAGGCACTTGAAACACCCCTGGGATGCTGTTGCACAGATGCGTTTGTGGACAGTCTCACAATGTGTTCAGGGCTGGTCCAAAGCTTGAGTAGCTTTGCTTTTGATTTCCACAGCTTTGGGCATGAGCGTGGAGGAATTGGGGAAGATGGGAAATGCGGATTTCAACAAATGCCACTTTTGTGTAGTCTGCAGAACTGGGAGCACAGATGAGCACATTAATGGGCTGGGTGCTGTGAGTCGGACTTCATTTGAACTGCATCACCTTCACATTTAAAGAACTGGAGTAACTTTAAATCACAGCCACAAGTTATATTACATCATAACTTTTCTTGTTCAGACATAACTATTGCATCACTACATCAGCCTCTGATTTTGTCACCTTTTGTTTTCTGTGAGTGCTTGCCTGTCTGCAGCTTTTTAGACAGAGCTAATTTCCATGTAACACGGAGCCTGGCCTATTGCAGTGATGCATTTCATCTGCTGTCAACAGTTGTGCCAGAAATGACATCACTTTCTATTCTGTAATAAAGATCCAAAGCTAGTTTTCAAAAATTATTTGGACTGAAAACTCTTGACATCACTGGGTGTTGCTTTATAGCAACAAATCATACCACTGGTAATACCTTTTGTGATTTTTTTCTTTTCACTTAGTAAAAAACTACCAACTGCTTTGGCAGGCTAAGGAGAATTTCAGTTTACATGAAACATTATATTAACAAAGGACTATAAATCAGTCTCAATTTAAGAAGTGTTCATTAAAGCATTTCCACCTTCATGGCTTCATCTCCTTGGCTGCAGCTTGGAAAGAGGGGGAAGGTATCAGGTCTATGCCCTAATGAGAGATCTCCTTGAGTCCCACCACGGAACAGCAACCATAAAACAACAACAGGATACTTGATGAACCATCAGCTTTAATAAAATATGCTAAGGTATACTTTAATACTTGACTTGCATAACTGTAAGATGCCAATGCCACTGTGTATATTCATAGCTGGCATGAAAAAAAAGAGGTTTGCTTTTGTCATTGAGCAAAAGAAGGTCCTAAGGACCAGAGAAAACAGCTGGACTCATTAGCCACAGTATGGGGAGAAAAAGAAAATCCAGAAAATAGCCAGAGCAGAGGGGCCACTACACTTTTTTGGCAAAGACATAATGCCCGGTTGCAATCAGTGAAAATGAACCTGATGGATCACGGTAACTGCTGGCACAAAGCAAGGGCGAGATGCCCTGGGAGCCTGCTCCTCGCTCTGTTGTGGTACACAGGGAGAGGGAGGTGCTGCGCTTCCAGTGAAGGACAAAATCCACTTGTGTCCACAAGCCACTAGGTTGGAAAAGACCTTAGAGATCATCCAGTCCAACCGTATCTGTCCACCACTAAACCATATCTCTCAGCACCTCATCCACCCGTCTCTTAAACACATCCAGGGATGGTGACTCCACCACCTCCCTGGGCAGCCTGTTCCAGTGCGTGATAACCCTTTCGGTGAAGAACTTCTTCCTTACATCCAATCTAAACCTCCCCTGGTGCAGCTTGAGTCCATTCCCCCATTGAGTGGGGTAGGAGTAACTGCTGGGTGAGTCTTGTGGAAAGGTTATTTTCAGTGTATTGATAGTCTGGTGAGTTACATATTAGTATCTTCATGATGAAGAACTGCTACATAAGCTGTCTTATTTACTTTTTAAACCAACTAAATAGGAAGTAACTTGCAGAGAAGGATAAAGAAGAAATTCTTGGATTAAATTAAGGCAAGACCTCAAAAAAAAAATCTAAAAGAGTGACAAAAAGCACCATAGGTAAACTGACAAATTCCACTAAATTATCAATATTTTCCTCAAACACTTGCCACAGTTGTCTGGGATCGAGCTGGAAAGCTACAACAGGAGAACATCAACTTAGGAATGTCAACCAGTGTGCAAGGAAATCCAGAGGGCTGGCCAGAGATAAATCGGATCCAGACAGGCACGTTTTGCCAGATGGCCTTTTTGAGTTTCATTCAAACGTACTTTCAGCACAAGAGACAGACTGAGTACTACGGGGTCAAGCAAGAACAAGTTGTCCAAGTCCACACACTAGATCACAGATAATATTAAAGTTATTCTTATCAAAGTAACCTCCTGTGATTAGCAATAATCTGTAGGTAAGACCTTCCAGTTTCACACAGATCCCTTGGAATAGATTAATTAATACTTCCTTGTTTAACTTCAAAAAGTAACTGTTTCTGGAGCAGGAGAGAGAGGACAAAGTGAGGTGGGAAAAAGAGGTGGAAATATTCGTTTTCTTTGCTAAATCATCCAGACCAGAGTTTTGCATTGCATTTTGTACCATATCCCATGCAATGACATGCTTGTATTACTATGGGAATCCTATCATTGGAAAACACTCAAACTTTTGGCAAATCATTTAATCTAGTTGCCGAAATAGATTAAATAGCATCGATGGCAAAAGCTCTGGTATTTTTCATGATATTATTAAATCTATTCTTGGAAGCTTCACATTCGTTAATTCATGTCAACAGAACAAGCAAAAAATCTCCAAACCTTTTAAAAAAGGTTGAATCTGTGTCTGAAATGAAGACACTTCAGGAAGTACAAGGGTTTAGCTGAGATGTGCCACATACAGTGTTTCGTATAAATTCTCATTGCTGACAAAACAGATTGGTCTGTAACTCTTGTTACACAACGAAATGCAAAGTTCAGTTTTTCCCTGGTGCGAAAGCATGAAAGAAATGGCATTTCAAGTACTTTCCATCTCTGTGGGGAGTATGAGAAACTTTGTTCTGAGTTGAAATCCTGAGGGTTTGTTTAACCTCCCGAGACCTTCCCATCCCACCGTGACCCACCTCTCCAGCTTACAAACAGGAGAGGCAATGAGGAACAGAGGAGCAGTTGCTGGCCTATGAACTTTACCCTATTACATCCTCATTCTTCTTATTTCCCCCCCCCGCCAATACTGTTTGTTGAACCAAATGATACGCTCCTTGGCAAGGCATCTGGACATCCGGCTACAGACCAGGGTTTTCCTAATTACGGAGTGCAGCTGGAACCGATTCTTCCAGTCTCGAGTGCCTGGATGTCTGCCTCGGGCCAACTGGCAGACGGCTCGGATAATGATTCAGAAAAGATGTACTTGTAAATCAGCTTGCTAAAACACAGATAGATCGCAAAGGTGAGGGTGCTGGTGAAAAATAGCGTACCACAAATATTTGGCATGCACAGGACAGCCCAGTTCGTAGCCAGCTGAGGTTTTGTACATAACTTGAGAAACACACGAAAACAGTCCACGGATAATGCTATTCTGCCAGTGTTTCAGGTCTTTGCTAGACACATACAGTCTGCCATGCTTGGGGGGGTGTGATGACACCCAGAGGGACACTTGGCAGAGCAGAGATGGCTTTAGAGCGTTGGCCTTGGCCTCATCTCCAGTTTTGGTCATGAAAGTTGCATATTTCATTCATTTACTATTCATATGCTGTCAAATTTCAAACGTGTGTCAGCACTTCTGATCTCCGCTCTGCCCCAAGCCCTGCTTACTCGTGCCAGGTCTGCCATCCCCTCTGAGCCACCAGCATCACCTCAAAAAAAGCCTCCTCCAGAGGCTCCAAGGACCTGCAGCACTTCCCTCAAAACACCATGAAACAGCATCTCAGGACAAATACACCTGTGTGAAAAGAGGAAAATTGCTCCACTTTATTGAAAAAAACGTATTTTTTTGCTGATTGTTAAGTCACTGCTAAGAGACCTGTGAGGGGAGTCACGCTCTCTCCCAGGTGCATAGCAGCCAGGGTCCCTAAAGCCCTCAGGTCAGCTCTCTTGATTACCCAAAAACACTCAAATTCCCAAGTTGGGACCTGGGAGCTAAAGGACACTGATGCCTTGGCTGCAGGGTCAGACACCAGAGCAATGGTGTCTGACCTACAAAGACTACAATGACTACAATGTCTTTGGCATCACTTAAAACTTTTTTAAGCCTTTTTGTCCTTCTATGCATTATTCCTACTGTAAGTTATCAGCAGATAAACGACATCATTAAAATCAACTTGGAGAAATTAGTTTATACTGTATTCTGTTTAAATCATTAGATTTACTTAAATTTTCTTGTGACTAATTTAATTCAAATACCTGAGAAAGCCTTGAGGAAAAGGGTGTCATCATTAAAGATTCACCACGCTCCCTCTCAGTAAGGGCTGGGAGAGATCATAATTCAGTTCTTCAGATCTGAAGTGAGTCATCCAGAAAAACCATCCGGACATTACAGATACATCTAAGATGAAAGCCAACTCAGAATGAACACCAGAACCAAATCCACGTCTTCTGCTCTTCTTCATGTGTCATAAAGAAAGGGTGTCATAAAATTGCAGAGTACTGTCATCCAAAATAAAACTGAACAATGAAGCTAAAGTTCACATGCCCAGTACTAAAAGTAGAGGCAGATGAATGCTGTAAATTCCACCTTATCCCAAAGTCCCTGATGTATTAAATTGATTTATAGGGAATCTACTGGTGAACACTGTGTTTACTCGTTAGTGGAGAGAGTGATGCATCTCCAGAAAGCCTTGGCTCAGGCACAGTCTTGCCATCCTTCAAGGACGTTATCCTGAGCCTTCAGGAATGATGTTAAAACCAAGGAAGAGGTGAGGTGTTGCGCTGACAATGGTCCAGAGGAGGCATCCCAGGGAACAGGCAAGGCAGGAAGGCAACCCCATAGCCACATGTGCATTTTACTCTCTTACAGTCTCATAAAAACACACCCGATTTTCATCTCTGCAGGGTTTGACATTCAGCTACCTTCATGTAAGAAGAGACTGCAGTTTTCACTAAGATACTTCAGAGGTGCACA